ACTAGATCATTCCAGCCAGGGCTTTGTCAAGCCAGCCCTTTAAAGCCCCCAGGGATGGAGATTCTATCACCTCTATAGGTAACCCAGTCCAGTGCTTCACCACCCTCCTAGTGAGACAGTTTTTCCTAATATCCAACCTAAGCCTCCCTTGCTGCAACTTGAGACCATTGCTCTTTGTTCTGTCATCTGTCATGACTGAGCACAGTCTAGTTCCATCCTCTTTGCAACCCCCCTCCAGGTAGTTGAAGGTTGCTATCAAATCCCCACTTAGCCTCCTCTTATTTAGTCTACAGAAGCCCAGTTCCCTCAGCCTCTCCTCATGACATGTGTGTCCCAGCCCCCTAACCATTTCACTGCCCTCTACTGGATTCTCCCCAACTTGTCCATATTATTTCTTTAATGGGGGGCCCAAAACTAGACAGTATTCCAGATGTGGCCTCACCAGTGCGGAATACAGTGGAATAACAACCTCCCTCAGTCTGCTAGCAACACCCCTACTAATGTAAACCATTATGCTGTTAGCCTTCTAGGCAACAAGATCACACTGTTGACTCATATCCAGCTTATTGTCCACTGTAACCCCCATGTCCTTTTCTGCAGAGCTGCTGCTTAGCCAGTTGGTTCCAAGCCTGTAGCAGCAGATACAGTTCCTCTGTCTTAAGTGCAGGACTTTGCACTTGTCCTTGTTGAACCTCATGAGGTTTCTTTTGGCCCAATCTTCCAATTTGTCTACGTCACTCTGAATCCTAGCCCTATCCTCCAGTATATCTACTATCCCCTACCCCTGACTGGTGCCATCTGCAAACTTGCTTAGGGCACAATACATCTCATCTTCTAGGTTGTTAATGAAGATATGGAATAAAACCAACTCCAGAACCAACTCTTGGAGCACTTCGCTTGATACCAGCTGCCAACTAAACATCAAGCTATTGATCACTACTTGTTGAGCCACACAATCCAGCCAGGTTTCTATCCGTCTTACAGTCCATTCATCCTACCCATACTTCCTCAGCTTCCTTGCAAGAATGCTGTGGGAGATAGTATTAAAAGCCTTGCAAGAGTCAAGGTATATCATGTCCACTGCTTTCCCTACATCTACAGAGCCAGTTATCCTATTATAGAAGGCAATCAGGTTGGTCAGGCATAGGGTAAGCACTACTTATGGCATGCATCTGAGGCCTTGCAAACAGGGCCAGTCCAATACACACCATAGGCAGTGTATGGGTCAACTCAGAACCAGGGACAGCACTGGGTGGCAGACGATGGAGCTCCACAAGCTGGGTCCAACACATGGGCCATATGTCTGACACACGTGGTCTAAACAAGAATGATTCTGCACTGGCAGTTGGACTAAATGACCTACTGAAGTCCCTTCCAGCCCTAATTTTCTATGATTCCAATGCTCACGTTGGACTGAATATGACCTTTTAAAAAAATGGCAGCATGTGAAATAGAGTCATTGGAGAGCTAACAAGAAGAGATGGATCAGATGGCAGAGGCTATTGTTCGAGGAAGCTCAAGGAGGAACAGTTTCAGGCAGACTTCCGTTTCTCTGAGTGTTCTTGGGGAAAAACCAAACAGAACATCATTCTAGAATGAACATGATCTTCTCCAATGCATGTAGGTAGGGTAGAATTCCAAAATATATCCAATTTATCTCACCAATGAATAACTCACTTACCAAAACATTTTATCCTACCATTTAATCCACTATGCGCAGCAAGTAGCGTTAGCCAGAACCAGAGAAAAACCAAATACTACATCGGCTCTGTACCACAATAATGAATAATAAAAGGGGAATTGAGGAAGCGTTGGACACACCCTAGCCATTAGCTAGGACAGATGCAGCCCCAAAGGCTACACCATTGGCCAAACTAATCCAGTTTTGAACATGTGTGCCCGGAGTTCACCTAGACCTGGAACCATCTAGACAACCATACCCTAAAAAGCAGAACTGGTGTGGAAACAGGTCTCAAGATTTTGCTTACCACCTCATGTGTTTTATTCCACAAATCTGAATGATAAACCTCAGTGGCTATAGTAATTCTTCAAAGTTTGTATTATGAAACTGTTTTGAAATTCAACCCAACTTTTCAGTGTTAGTATTGGGGTAACATATTCTCACTTAAAAAACCCCCAACAACAACAAACCAGCCACGTACCTGCTCTTTTTGCCTCAATGCAAGCAATATTCATTTCCTCTTTCAATTCTCTATTTTCATTTGCGATGGCTTCACCTACTGTAACAAATCTTCCAACAGCAAGGTTAACAGCTTGGCCCACTCGCTGAATTGCTTGCAGTGTCTTGTCGGACCGCTTTGGTTTATCTTTATGGTTAATGAGAGTAGTTATCTGTAAACAACAGTGAGGACTTTATTAAGATTGAATATTAAATCCATATTTTAATTTGAATTTTTGAAATGTTTGTATTTCATACCTGTTAGCCATGCTAGACAGCTTCCCCAACCATCTTTCCTCCCTTTTAACCTCTCCTTTTGAGTAAACCACTGCAATGCTACTCCAGTCAAACTTTTGGTGCTGTATTTAAAAATCCAAACCAAAAAAACAAAAAACAAAAACAAACAAACCTTGCACTGCAAGCATACTCACTGAAACATCAGGTAACAGGAAAAAGGAAATTTAAGTAGTACTTAGCTTTACAGGGTGTTCTGCTACCTTAGGATGCATATTTCCCAAGTTTAGGCATTTAAAAATGTACGAAGACAAGACAGTTGGACTAGCTTTAATCAGACAGAACACTGTTTACCTCTCTGCTTTAGAGCAACTAAAGCAGAAGTCTAATTTGTGGTACATTTTGTGCACACCTGAATATGACATGACACAGAACAGAATTTAAAGCAAAGACAGCGCTCTGGTTTGGCACATACATTGCAAGATAAAACAGCCTTCTATATATTTGGTGTACTCTATGTAAAAAGTGTTACTTTTCCAGTCCTAAAGTAGCTCTGGAGAAAGTGTTCTGGTAAAAAAATGTTTTTTATCCAGCTGATCTATAGGGACCCGGATTTTACGGTCACCACATAAAGATGTGGACTTACTCCTTTAAAAGGAAAAAAAAAAATATAGGAAATGGCAGGTTTTTCACTTGCAGGCTGGCAAGGTTTCAGCTTGCAAAGAGATGCTTGGGTCTGGGTGGGGGGGGTAGCAGGATGCAGGGAGCACTACATGCAAGTGTGTGTACCACCCATGCACGTGGCCAGCAATGCAGCCAGGCCACAGTGAAGAACATCTCCCCCAACTGCCTGTGGGTAAGCCGGGGGCTGGAAAAAGAGGTCACAGGCCATGTATGGGAGGGCAGTGCTTGAGGGCAGAGTGAGGTGGCCACAATGACTGAAGGAGTGAAGCAGGGTTGGCAGTTGGGACTACTGCCCAGTTGGGGCGGTGCCTAGGGCAGGAACACGCAGCTATGAGGCATGGCTGGGGGAGTGGCATGGAGCTACAGATGGCTTGTCCAGGGGTGGTGGAAGGGCTAGTTCCTCACTGCTGTGCACACTTAGGGGGCATGTCCCCACTCCCCCGGAATTTGCGCACAGGGTGGGGGCAGATGTGGGCTGCCCGCTTCGGGGTTCCCTGCCCTGCTGCCCTCCCCCTTGGGGCCTCTGTGGTCCAGCAGGCAGGACCTGGTACAGGAGGACACAGGAAGGTTCAGTACTACCACTGCCACCACTGGGAATCTGGCACCAGCTGCACTGCCATGGCGAGTTGCCCCCATCTGCCTGACAGCAGCAGGGGACACAACTCTGCCTGGCTGCCTCAACTGCTGCCAGGCAGGCAGGGGTGTCTCACCATGTCAGCGCAGCTGGCACAGGGCTTCCAGTGGCAGCACCAAGGCTCTCCCTCTTGTAACAGGTCCTGCCGCTGGGCAGTGGAGGTCCCCAAGGAGAGGGCAGCAGGGTGGGAAGCCCTGTGTCCTGCAGTGGGCAGCCTGCATCTTCCCTCTACCCCACGCACTTCACTCAGCAGTTTATGGCAGCTGGGGCTACAGTGCTGGGGGGCAGGGGGAACGGAGGAGCTGTGGACCCTTCTTACAAGGATGGGAGGGGTAGGGGGCTGCAGGTTGAGAGGGGCACTGGCAGGGATGAGGGGCTGCAGGTCAGAAGTGAGAGGCAAGGCACTGGTGTATCAGAGCTGCTCAGCACCGCAAGGCAGCGTGGGGGTGAGAAAGAGACAGCTGCAGCTGGACCCACACCCTGGTGAGCAAGGGAGCAGGAGGAACTCTAATTTTCTATGATAAAAACAAAAACAAAATCAAACTCCAAAATCTACACATACTAGCAAATTAGTAGGACCTGTAGGAGTGGGGAAAACAGAGCACCGCCACCTCCCCCCAAGGAGCAGGGCAGGGGAGCTTGCCCCGCCATCCCCTCCATCACCTTCCGCTGCCTCTAAGGAGCTTGCCCCACTCTGTCATGGTGCTGCTCTGCCATCCCACTCCATTCCTGCTGCTGGCCTCTGTGCCCATCTGTGTGGAGCACTCTGGTTGTTTCAGTAAGCATTGTGATTGGCTGCCGAGACAACCAATCAGAGTGTGCCAAGAGTATGACAGACATATACAAAATTTGAATTAATTTTATTTAGGAGATGCACTGATATATCAGTCCCTAATCATACTGGCACCAATAAAAGGAAAATTGACATCATCAGCAATCTGCTTTTTTTGGCCAGTGTAGCCAATGTCACTGATAAATACCGCATGCATGTACGCAGCCGCAGCACGCACCAACCAGGAATGCAGCCCTGCAGCTTGGAGACCAGCATCCAGCCAGTAAGTCGGGAGCAGCAGGGACATGGGTGGGGGGCACAGACTGAAGCCCCCACACAGTGAGGGAAGGAGTAGGGATGGGGCAAGTGCAGTCCAGCCAGGGCAGGGACTAAGCCACTGGCAACTTATCTGGGAAGGGTGGAGCAGCTCTCTGCCATCGCACACAGCCTGGGGGAGGCATGGGGGGGCATGCCTAACATGGGCCGACAATGCGAGGTCATGGTTGGCAGGGCTAACCGGACCTTGTCATGCATCCACAGGTGCATCTCGAGTAGAGCCAAGGAGGTGATCCTCCCCCTCTACGCGACGCTGGTCAGGCCACAGCTGGAGTATTGTGTCCAGTTCTGTGCGCCCCATTTCAAGAGGGATGTGGACAATATGGAGAGGGTCCAGAGGAGGGCCACCCGCATGATCCGGGGACAACAGGGCAGACCCTACAGTGAGAGACTGCGGGACCTGAACCTATTCAGCCTCCACAAGAGAAGGCTGAGGGGGGACCTGGTGACCGTCTATAGACTCACTAGGGGGGACCAGAAGGGTTTGGGGGAGACGCTGTTTCCCCTAGCGCCCGCTGGCATAACAAGGAGTAATGGGCACAAGTTGATGGAGAGGAGGTATAGATTGGACATCCGCAAAAACTACTTCACAGTTAGGGCGGCTAGGAGCTGGAACCAACTTCCAAGGGAAGTGGTGCTGGCCCCTACCCTGGGGGTCTTTAAGAAGAGGCTGGATGCCTACCTGGCTGGACTCATTTGAGTCCCATTTCTCTTTTTGGGGTTTTCTGTTGTTCTCCTGCCCTGGCGGGGGGTCGGGCTAGAAGATCTACTAGGTCCCTTCCAACCCTTAATCTATGAATCTATGTACCACCCAAATCTGTGCACAGGGCAAGGGCAGGCTGCTGCTATGGGCTCAGGCCAAGGGCCGCGCCAGCCTCTTCCTAGCAGAGGTGGGGTGGGCAGTGGCAGTGCTGGGAGAAGGGACTGCAGGGTATCTATGGCAAGTTTTGGGGTGGCTGTAGCCCACCCTGTAGCACCCCCACATCTTGTATTTGCATACAAGGAAATCTCATTAAATATACTGCCTAGCATTAAACTGCTGCCAAAAACAGCATGTACTCCAGGCAAGTATTTTAGACAGGCATTCTTTTACTTTCATGCACATTAGGGCAAAACAGAATGAATATAACACACATGCCTTAAAAGGAAAAAAAAAAGAGAGAAAGTAATGGAAAATTAGATGGAGAATCCACTCGATAGGGAATTACTTTAAGTTTAGAATCACATGCCAAATCAAAGACAATTGAAACTTTACATTTTCAAACTGAAGAATTTGTAATGAATGAGATTAAGTGGGTTGGGTGAGAAATTTTAAGTGTCTGTTGAAGACCAGACTGATAGGAGAAATAAATATATATAATATTAACCTGAAGAATTAACTAATCTGAAATGGAGAGATATACAGAACTAGATATCAAGAGGCACTACTTCACAGTTAGGGCAGCTAGGATCTGGAACCAACTTCCAAGGGAAGTGGTGCTCGCTCCTACCCTGGGAGTCTTCAAAAAGAGGCTAGATAAATCACCTAGCCAGGGTCGTTTGACCCCAGTACTCTTTCCTGCCAGGGCAGCGGGGTCAGACTTGATGATCTGCTCAGGTCCCTTCCGACCCTACTTACTATGAAGCTATTAGAAACTTATTTATTACAATCCACACACTCACAGATATTACTGTAAATAAGAAGAATCAAATTCCTTTGGCCCCTACCTGGGCTGGATACAGATGCAGCTCTAGTCATAGGACAAACAGTCCCCTGTGGCTCAAGGCATCATGGGCATTAACACAGCTTTTGCTTGCCCCATCACTGCCAAAACACAGCCTCAGCAGAGATCTCATTCATGGTCTTTCAGTGGCAGGCCTCACCCCTGAACTCATAGCCTCTTCAGAAGCCCTATAGGCTGGATGCCACTGTTTTGTCATCCTCTGCAAACCTGTAGAGGTTTTTGACACCCCGCTATAAATGAGAGATGATCTACCCATGGCTAGACTATGAGCCAGGAAGAAGCCTGGGCATCTGCTCCAGTGCAAGAAAGAATGGAGTATTTGGCACAGTACTTGATAAGGAAAGATTTCTGCTTTTAAAGAAATCTCATAGAAAAAAAGTTATTTGATTGAGAACGTAAATAAAGCAGCAACCTTGAGACAGCTAACAAATCAAGCTTCTAAATAAATTAGAGACCAAGTAAAATGGTCTATCAAAAATGCACTACCAAAATTAAGTTTAAAATAGAAGTAACAAAAAAAATTTGTAAACATTAACATTGAAGGTAAATTAAATCTTTAACTGAAAAGTAGAGAACTTTCCCTCCACAAAAACTAAAAAATACAAAGTTTATATTAGCTGTATAATAAAGTTCAAGCCATGGAGAAATTCCTCCAACCAACCACCTCTCACACCTTGGGAGCCTTTCAGATAGTTAGTTGCGATCTTTGCATTGTCTTCGATATTTTGGAATCAAAAGGTGTAGAAGTTTTTTCAAAGCTGTGACTTGAAAGTTCCCCCTGCTGGCATA